CAGGCGGAAAAGTCCATGAAATTCTTTTTTTTTTTTTTTGGTCAGTTGTGGGGCCTGAACTCTGGGCCTGGACACTGTCCCTCAGCTCCTCAGCTCAAGGCTAGCACTCTAACACTTGAGCCACAGCGCCACTTCTGGCTTTCTTTTTGCTTACGTGGTTCTGAGGAATCGAACCCAGGGCCTCATGCATGCAAGGCAAGCTCTCTACCACTGAGCCACCTTCCCAGCCCCCGAGAAACTCTTATCTCCAATAAACCACTCAGAAAACTGGAAGTGGTGCTCTGGCTCAAATGGTAGAGCACTAGCCTTGAGCTGAAGAGCTTAGGGACATTGCCAGGCTAAGAGTTCAAGATCTATGACTGACAAAATTAAAAATTAAAAATTAAAAAAAAATTAAAAAGGCTCTTCCCGGAACACCTTACAGTGCCAGAAAATAAGGAGGTGCTTGATAATGAGAAAACCCCCACTAAGATGGGGGCATGTCAAAAGGACTCAGGAGCCAACTGAAAGCTCCCAAAGGCCAGAGCTAGAACAATCTGAACAATTAATAAAATTAAGTAGTGCTGCATAATAACTTAGAAAATGAAATAATTATCCATGTTTCCATACTGGCATAAATTATGTAATAAAGGAAGAGAAATCTTCAGTGCATAAAAATTCCAAGTAATTATATAGCTTCCACTTAAGAAAATGGAGGAGTGTTACTTTCATTAAATATGGGCTAAGTGTAGTAATTTCCTTCCAAAGAGTACAGGGGCGAAAGAGTCACTTTATCTTGGGAAGACCTGATGTTTGAGAAACTGCCACAGCCAAAAGCAACCTAAAGAGACAACTAAATTCATGCTGGATACTGGATGATATTAACAACATAGTATTACTGATCTATTAATAACAGTGAATATATGGTAATAAAGCATGATGTTAATAATACTGGAAACAGGATGGGTAAGGTATACAAGAACTTGGTATTTGCAAATTTTTTGAAATCTAAAAACAGTTTTAAAAAGTTTGTTTTTTATATGGCATAAGGTTTTGTGCTGGTCCTGGAACTTGAATTCAGGGCCTGGGTGATGTCCCTGAGATTTTTTTTGCTTGAGCCACAGCACCACTTTTGTGGGTTTTTTTTTTTTTTTGAGGGAGGGGTTAATTTGATATATGAGTCTCAGACTCCTGCCTGAGCTGGCTTTGAACTGAGATTCTAGGATCTCAACTTCCTGAGAAGTTAGGTTTATTGGTATGAGCCCTAGATGCTAGGCAGTTTTGCCCTTCTTATATTAAAAATCAGCCAAGATTACGTAGGTTGAAAGTAATAGAGGCATTGCTGCTAGTTCATTCTAATTTAGAGAAAGGAAGGAAGGAAGGGAAATGAAGAAGGAAGGAAAGAAGAAAGAAAAAGGAAAGAAAAAGAAAGCAAGCAAGAAAGAGAAAAAGAAAGAAAGAAGAATCGACTCTTGTTGCTACAGTGAAGATAGATGGAGGGTAGTGTCGAAGCTCATTGGTGGAGTCCCTTGGCTGAGGGCGGGGCTCTAAGCTCAAAGACTTGCCGATTGGTTAACTACCAGGGAGCACCGAGTTGGAGCTTGGAAGCCTATTGGTTGTGTCGCTGGAGGATGGTGTGATGGAGAGCCAGGCCAGCGAAGTCGGTTTCCATGGCAACCGAAGCTTGAAAGAGCCGCTCAGATTTCCGCGCTCACCCCAACTCCTCCTTCCAGAGGGGGCAGGGCGGCCTGGATTTGCGAGCTGGTGGAAGAAGGCTGGGGGCTGGGAATTAAGGGAACATGGCCTTCCCTGGACCAAATCAATGCAACATTGCTACATTTGAACTGGGTTTGACGAACTGGGTCGCAGGTTCACTTTAAAAAAGAAGTCAGCCAAATGAAAGGCCTGTGAAAGGAGAGAAAAATAGAATTCCATCTTCCCCTAACCTCTCCACTGGTAACATTGGAACACAAAGCCTAGCATAGCGTAGGAGTCAGGACTTCATGTGAGAAATAAATGAAGAAAGGAGAACGGGATAAAAGAAGAGAGGGAGGGAGGATGGGTGATAAGGAGAACTTGTGACCTAAGGCCTGCCCTTTGGGGGTTAGAGATCCAATTAACCCCAAGATCAATGACTGCCTTGGATGTAGGGGCTTGGAGGAGGAGGGGTTGCCCGAGCACTGCAATAAGGCAGGACCGACAGTGGTTCCTTTTGTCTCTCCAGGTATTATTTAGGAGACTCAATAAAACTCCTTTTTAGATGCAGGTGGCCCAATGCCTGTAATTCTAGATACTCAGGCTGAGATAGGAGGAATGAGGTCCAAAGCCAGCCCAGGCAGAAAAGCCTGTTGAGACTATCTCCCATTAACCACAAAACATTGGGAAGTGGAGCTGTGGCTCAAGTGGGTGGAGTGCTAGTCTTGAGCCCTCCCTTCCCCCCTCCCCCCCCCCAAAAAAAAACCCTCAGGGACAGCACTGGGTTCAAGCACCAGGAAGTGCACAAAAACAAAACAAATACTTCCTCCCTGGCTTCAAATCAGGCGGGCTCTGTCACTTATCAGCTGTCATTGCTTTAACTCCTGAGTCTTTTTTGTTGTCCTTATTGGTTGTGGGGCTTCAACTCTATAGGCAATGTCCCTGAACTTTTTTGCTCAAGGCTAGTGCTCTACTACTTTGAGCCATAGTGCTGCTTTTGGTTTTCTGGTGACTAATTGGAGGTAAGAGTCTCACAGCCTTCATGCCTGGCTGGCTTTTAGAGGTGATTCTCAGATCTCAGCCTCCTGAGTAGCTAGGATTGCAGTCATGAGCCTCTTTCACCCACCTCTATTTACACTTGTTGACTGGCACATACCACTAGGCCCAGATTTTTCTTTTGAGATAGAATCTAGTAAACATTTTGCCCTAAAACCAGCTAGCCTAGAACCTTGATCATCCTAATCTCAACTCTGAGAGTAAATTGGATTATAGGTATGAACCACCATACCCAGTCTTCATAGTTGTATTCTGTTACTTAGAACCTACATGAGAATGGATACTTACCAAACATGTTAAAAATGGGAGTGGATCAGGGTGCTGCTGATGTCTCCAAACTCTAATCTTAGCTACTCAGGAGGCTGAGATCTGAGGATCATGGTTCAAAGCCAGTCTGGCAGGAAAATCAGTGAGACTATCTATAATTAACCATTAGAAAACTGGAAATGGAGCTGTGGCTCAAAGTTGTAAAACACTAGACTTGTGCTCAATAGCTCAGGGACAGTGTTCAAGCCTTGGGTTCAAGTCCACAACCAACAACAATAAAAGGAGTAGAAAGGCCTGCCTAGAAAGCAGCCATTCTTTTTTTTTTTTTTTTTTCTGCTGGTCATGGAGCTTGAACTCTGGGCCTGAGCATGGTCCCTGAGCTTGGGTGTGCTCAAGGATAGGGCTCTACCATTTGAGTTACAGCTCCATTTGCTGCTTTTTGTGGTTAACTGGAGATTAAAAGTATCTGGCCCGGGGCTGGAAGGTGGCTCAGTGGTTGAGTGCTTGCCTGGCATGCATGAGGCCCTGGGTTCGATTCCTCAGCACCACATAAGCAGAAAAGCCGGAAGTGGCACTGTGGCTGAGCTGAAGAGCTGAGAGACAGCATCCACAACCGACCAAAAAAAAAAAAAAAAAGTTATCTGGCCCCAGCTGGCTTTGAATCTCCATCCTCAGATCTCAGCCTCCTGAGTAGCTAGGATTACAGGCATAAATTACAAACCTAGGCTTAAGTTACAAACCCAGGCATCATTCTTATATATGGCTGATGAGCCCTGTATCATCTCTTTTTGGCCTTTTCTTCCCTATCTGTGACCTTGGAGAGACAGAACAGGGTGTACTCTCTCCATAGCTCTTCCCCATGTTGGTTTCTGCCCACATCTCTAGAGAAAGCTTTGTTTCAGGCATTCTATACTGGTTTTCTCTCAAAACAAAGAATTCTATTTTGGTACTGCAGAATTGCCTTTCTTACCTACCTCCCACTACAGGTGCACTCTTGTTCATGGCAGATAAAGTACCTTGCATGGGTCTGGCTCCCCTGGCCTCCAGATTTGAAGTTTAAGAATTTATCAGCCAGCCTGTCCAGACCTCTGCACATTCTCCTGGAGTCCATCCACAGTGAGGAATTGTAACTTGGGGGCTGCCGGATTCAAAAAGGAAACTGGGGGAGGTGTTTTGCTCCAGCCCGGGCTCAGTCCTCCCACAGCCAAGCAGGGGGCCTCTGTGGGGGGATGGGCAGGGAAACATTTTTTCCTTGGCTGCTCCCTGGGTGGGGGAGGAGCAGGAGAGGGAAGGTTTCTTCCACCAAGTGTGTTGGCAAATTGCCCACTAGGAGGAAGGGGGTAGGGAACACAGTGAAAGCAGGCTTTCTCCCAGCAGGCTGCTGGCCTCCAGCCCTACCAGAGGGAGGGAATCTGCTGGAGGATGGGAGGAACCCAGGAGACTTGGGTCTGGTACTCTGGGACACTAGAAGGACTTAAACTGACTCTGACTTAGATGTGGAATTAAGTCTTAACCCAGATTTATTTACTTTTTGTGGATACTAGGGCTGGAACTCAGTTTAGGCTTGCTACGCAGGTAGGCTACGACCATAGCCAATGCCTGTCCTTTTATTGGAATCTCTTAGGATCAGAAGGTCCTTCAGAGGGTTGTCAGGCTCTGCAGAACACTGGTCCAAACTTAGCCTGGTTTGGCCTATGTTGAGTGGTGATACACGCCTGTAATCCCAGCATCCAGGGTGTTGAGGCACAATCACCTGGAGTTCCAGGCCAGCTAGTGGGAGAGAACCAAGTACTTTTAAGGGTGAGCTAAGTTACTAATGCAGAGCTTAGGTAACAACTCCAGAGAGCCCAGCACACAACACAGTAGGTGCTAAGTGCTGCCTGCAGGGTGGAAAGGTTATTTGCAGGGCAAACAAATAGACTGTAGGGATTTGCAAGGAACTAAGCACTCTAAGCACTGGATAACAGTTCATTTAACACTTTGAAAGAAAATAAGGCACTGCATTTGCAATACAAAAGATAAATATTTATTCAGAACAAAACTTTCTTTAAAAAACAAGTGATTTTACATTCTAAGCCACAGGGAAATAGCAAAAACATAGAGAAAAACTAGAAAAGCAGTGTACTGTCTTTTCTACTTTAACTTGGTAACAGAGCTGACCCAGGCCTCTAGCTTGGCCTATAGTTCGCTCCTGATTTTGGGGTGAAGCACCCTTCTCCCGGGAGTGGAGGTTGTGCAGGAAGTAAGTGGTGCTCCCCCCAGGGTTCTGAGCTGTACAGGTTAAGGTGGGATGTTAGTTGACTTTGTTAGTTTCTCTATTCAGCAGCACTTCCACGTCTTTCTGGTGGCAGTGAATGGGAAAGAGGATGGCCTCTTAAAGGACAAGGCACACCGTATTTCAGGGAGCAGTGAATGCACCTGGAGTTGGTTCCTTGGTCCTTAGCTCTCCGAATATTTAGAAGTCCACGCCAAACTTTTGTTCCCTTAGGTGCTTTCTAAGTTCTGCTGTGCGTGCACCATGGTGGAGCGCTCAGACCTGGGCTTGCAAGTGTTGAGGAACTTGTTGTGAAGTGTGAGAGGTAGTGTGATGAGCACCGGTTTCAGGTCCGGGGACTCTACTTTGGGCTAGCTCTGGCACCAGACAGCTGTGAGACTCTGACCCAGGGATTTAACCTCTCTGGGTCCGTTTCATCTGCTGGAAAAACCTGGGGGGGGGGGGGGGAGGAGAAGAGACAAGGAACTGGGGTAAACTGCCTTCAAAGGGTTTTTCCAGCAGGAACAATTCTAGATTCCATAATTCTTTGAAAAATGGCTTCTGAGTCACCAGAGCTGTCCGGGTCCATGCACTTTTAGACCATAAGAGAGGCCCTTGGCCACCACTCAGAGCTTATTGATTCAGATAATATACACTTCGAACAACGTCGGCTTCACAAATTTTCAGACCATGTAGACTGGAAGCAGCAAATTAAAAGGGGATAGGGAAGAGCTGCTAAAAGTAGACACTCTTGACAGATGCCACACCAACAATGCTTTCAATTCAACTAACACTGACGGAGTGCCTACCATGTGCGAAGTAAGCCCCTGCGCCTGGCACTGGAGCAGAAAGCTGAACCAGGTGGCTCACAGGGTGAGATCTGGGAAGAAAACGAGTTAGGGAAAAGGTGAGGTAGGATGAGGATGGGGGTGAAAAGTACAAATACAAACAAACAACAAAAAAAAAAACAAACCCCGAACAGTACAAAAACCCCAAATATAAAAACGAAAATTAAAAAAAGTTTTTTAAAAAGGGGAGAGGCAACATCATCTGCTCACTACAGTGCTGGGCAGTCCTTTACTGGTGAGGGTCACCAATTCAGAACTGGTTTGAAGTGGAGTAAACTTGGTCGAAGAAGGCAATAGACAAAATGTCTCTGGTTAAGTTTTCAAAAGCTTTCTCTTCCAAAACCGGTTTTTTGATTTTTGTTTTTTTTTTTAAAAAAAGGTTCTCAAAAAACTTTTGGCACTTAAAGAGGGGTACGCTGGCTGTGTGTTCACCCTGGCTGAGAAGCAGGCGGCGGGGTGTTCAGTGACCGGCCACGCCCGTGAGCTGACCTGCCACGGAGTTGTGAACAGCTTTGGGACACTGGGCAAAGGCGTGTCCTCGCTTGCCACAGAGGTTGCACACTATGCCCTTCCGGCAGTACGGGCTCAGGTGCCCCTCTTCCCCGCACCTGAAACACTTGTCCTGGGTGCAGGTGCCGCTCATGTGGGTCCGGGAACCACACTTAAAGCACGTCTTGGGCTGCCCCTTGTACCAACTGTAGCCCCTCTCGGCCCCCAGGAAAAAGGCCCCGGGCAGGTGGCACACGCCTCCCTCCCCTTGGCGTAATTCGATCTCGCACTTGTATTCCCCGGTCCAGATCCCAAACCTGTCCGTCACTTTCACGGGTACGGCCAACACGTCGCAGTGGCGCTTGAGCCAGGTCACGATGTCCTCCACGTCCACGGTCTCGTTTCGGAAAAGGATGAAGAGCGTCTTCAAGCTGGACTTGCTCCGCCCCAGCACCACAAAGTTGTCCCAACAGTCCTCCAGCTCGCGCTTCTCCTCGTACACGCGGAGGAACAGGGCCAGCTTCTCCGCAGATCGGAAGCTCACGTCGAACTCGCGGCTGCCGGGGATCTGGATGACGGCGTAGATGTCGTCGGGCTCCATGCCGATGGAGCGCAGGATGAGCGCGCCCACCACGAAGTCCCGCGTCGGGCAGGCGCTCTCGTCACCCTGGAAACAGATGCGCACGAGGAAGCGGCCCTTGCCCGAGCCCGCCGCGCCTTCATCCAGGAGCGGCCGCTCCGCCGCGTCTTCCGACGTGCCGGCCCCGGCTGCGGCCGCCCCGGCCTCCGCCTTCTTCCTGCGGCCCGCCTCGGCCGCGGCCTTCTTCTGACGCGCGTCCGCCGCCTCGCCGGCCGGGTCTCTCCGGCGGCCTTTCAGTTCCCCGCGGCCAGCCGGGGGAAAGTCGTTCAGGCCCGCCGCCGCTAGGCCGGCCGGGACGCCGAGGCCGCTGCCCACGCCGCCGCCGCCGTCCTCCTCCCGCCGCCTTGGCTCGCGGAAGTCGCCCTTCTTCTCCGCTAGGTTCTTTACTACCTGGGCCCAGCCCATCTTTTCGCGGGTGCCCTCGGCGTCTTCGCTCCGGGCTGCAGGACGCGTGAGAGGCAGGAGCTGGGGACGGCTGCGCTTCCTGTCCTCCTCCATGCCGCTGCCGGTGGCCATTTTATCTCTTTCCCATCATCCTTCACTCGCGCTCGCTGCCAAAGTGCGCCCATCGCGCGCGCGCGCGCGCCCCCGCCGGGGTCGTGGGGGGTCTAGGGGGGGAACGTGCGTACGTGCGTGCGTGCGGGTGGGAGTCGCAGAAACCCGACGCCGCGCTCCCTCCGTGCCCCCCGCGGCACAGCTCTCCTGCGGCGTACATTGGCCAGCGCCTGCCCAGGGCGCTGCGGACGGCTCCACCCCTTCTCGGCTGAGATGCTTCGCCCCGCCCCTCCACCGTGCAGCCCCGCCCCCTCCCCTCCAATTTCCGCCCCTCCCCCAATCCTCCAATCTCCCGCCTCCCCCTTTCCTCCCTCCCCTCCCTGTTTTCCCCTCGGCGTCCCGGTAGTAGCCGGCCGCCCCGTCTTGCCCGCCTGTGCAGCTTCCTTCCTCCGCATTCTCCCCAAGATGCGCTTCGCAGACGCAGCCCACCGCCCCCAGCCGGGGCTGGAAGGAGTCGGGGTCGGTGGGCGTCCGTCTCCGCCGCGCCTTTTCTACCTAAACCCACACACAAAGGCCTCCGCCGCGCTGCGCCTGCGCCTCGGCCCGTCCGACCCCGCCCCTGCGCCAGGTGCATCGGGAACAAAGACGGAAAAGTGGACCGGACAGTTTACCATTATTGTGTTTTTTTTTTCTCCTTTTAAACATTTCATCATTAAAGTGTTACTGTCTCAGTACACTATCCATTACACGTGTGTGTGTGTGTGTGCTTGAACTGGAGCTTGAACTCAGGGCCTGGGCGCTATCCTTGAACTTTTCTTCCCCCCCCCCCTTCCAGGCTAACACTCTACCGTTTGAGTCACAGCTCCACTTCCAGCTTTTTGGATGGCTAATTAGAGATAGTGTCTCAAGTATCTTACTGCCCGGGCTGGCTTCGAACCGCGATCCTCAAATCTCAGCCTCCTGAGTAGCTAGGATTACAGGCGTGAGCCCGGTTTGTCCACTGCTTTTTGATATGTTTCCAAATAAGTTACATTTGCAATGTGTTAATGTTTTGAAAACTCGATAGCTGGCCCGGGTGAGTCTTGCCAGTAATCCTAACCACTGTGAAGGCTGAGATCTGAGGAAGATCCTGGGTAGACAAATCTGTGAGACTCTTAATCTCTAATTGACCTGCAAAAAGCTGGAAATGTGAGCACCAATGGCTCACACCTGTAATCCTACCTACTCAGGAGGTTGAGATCTGGTTCATAGTTAAAAGCCAGCCCGGGAAGGAAAGTCCATGAAACTCTTATCTCCAATAAACCTCTAGAAAACCGGAAGTGTCGCTGTGGCTTAAGTGGTAGAACACTTGCCTTGAGCTGAAGAGCTGAGGACAGCGCCAAGGCCCAGAGTTCAAGCCCCACGGCCGACCAAAAAAAAAAGCTGGAAGTGATAAGAGGTGTTTCTCAAGCGGTAGGTAGAGCTCCAACCTTGGGTGGAGGGGAAGAGTAACAGCAGCATGAGAGGTCCTAAATCCCAGTATCAGCCCAAATGGGACAACAAAAACAAAAAACCCAGCTGTATGGTACTCATCATGAAAATGAATATAAACCAGCAGGTTGCTGGTTTTATCCTTGGAATCTTCTCTTCCAATAAAATAAACTCCCCCAACTCCTGCCCCCCTCCCACACACACAAGAAAGAAAAAACGCAGGAGTTTGGAGACTGGTTAAATCCTGTGGAGTTAATAGACAGGCGCCCACCTTTGGAAGCTTTTCTGCTTCATGCACTTTGCTTCTGACACTGTGAAGGCGAGTTATTTGCACAGATGCCACAGGAACTTGTTAACCACGCAGAACCACACAGTGCTGGGCATAGCCAGCACAAGTTAACAATGGGTACACCCTCGTGGTTACATTCCCGTGGTTAAGTGAATGGGTTTAACACCACATTCTTCTAGGAACTTTGAATGTGTTCTTTGAGACAGGGTCTTACTAAGTTGATCTCAAACTTTGTCTTCCTGACTCAGTTTACCCAGTACAACAGCCTGGCTTAATCTTCCCAGCTCTCCTTCCTTTTTTTTGTCGGTCCTGGGGCTTGAACTCTGGGCATGGGTGCTGTCCTTCAGCTCAAGGCTAACTCTCTACCACTTGAGCTGCAGCACCACTTCCGGTTTTCTGGTGGTTAATTGGAGATAAGGGTCTGGGGGACTTTCCTGCCCAGGCTGGCTCTGAATTATGATTCTCAAATCTCAGCCTCCTGAGTAGCTAGGATTGCAAGCATGAGTCACCGGCTTGCTTTTCTTTTTTCCTTCCTTCCTTCCTTTCTTCCCTCCCTCCCTCTCTCTCTTTCTTTTTTCTCTCCTTTTTCTCTCCCTCCCTTTCTCTCTCACCTGCCTCCCTGCCTGCTTGCTTGCTGGTCTTGGGGCATGAACTTAAGATCTGGGTGTTGTCCCTTTTGTATTGTTTTGTTTCTCTCAAGGCCAGTACTCTACCACTTGAACCACAGCTACATTTCCATTTTGGTAGTTAATTGGAGATAATTGTCTCATGAACTTGCCTGGGTTGGCTTTGAACTGCACTCCTCAGATTTCAGCTTTTCTGAATAATTACAATTACAGGCATGAGCCACAGGCACCCAGTTCCCACTGTGTGTGTGGTGTGTGTATATATGTGTGTGTGCATGCTGGTGTTACATCTTTTTTTTTTTTTTGGTCCAGTCGTGGGGCCTGAACTCTGGGCCTGGGCACTGTCCCTCAGCTCTTCAGCTCAAGGCTGGCGCTCTACCACTTGAGTCACAGTGCTACTTCCAGCTTTTTCTTTATGTGGTGCTGAGGAATTGAACCCAGGGCCTCAGGCATGCAAGGCAAGCGCTCTGCCACCGAGCCACCTTCCCAGCCCTGGTGTTACATCTTAAACTCAGGGCCTTGTGCCTTGCTAGACCTTTTCCTTCAAGGTTGGTGCTCTACCACTTGAGCCATGCCTCCACATCTGCCTTATTGCTGGTTAGTTGGAGATAAAGTCTCAGATATTTGCCTGCTGAGTCTAGCTCCAAACCAAGATCCTCAGATCCTTTAGATTGCAGCCTTCTGAGGAGCTAGGATTATAGGCACGAGTCATGGTGCCCAGCTCCTAACTTGCTTTTGAGAAAGAGTCTTGGCCTTGAACCATGATCCTTCTGTTTCTGCCACCTGAGTTGTTGGGATAATGGGTGTTCTCCATCATACGTTTTTTGTTTTGTTTTGGCTTTTTTTGGTTGGTCATGGGGCCTGAACTCTGGGCCTGGGCCTGTTCTTTAGCTCTTCAGCTCAAGTCTAGTGCTCTACCACTTGAGCCACAGCACCACTTCTGGCTTTTTTCCTTTTTGCTTATGTGGTGCTGAGGAATTGAACCCAGGGCCTCATGCATGCAAGGCAAGCACTCTACCACTGAGCCACCTTCCCAGCCCTGGTCCTATGCTTTTTAAAAGGTATATAAAAGGAGTTTTGTCCTAGTGTTTTATAGTAACATCCCCCTATTGAAGCTTAGGTGATTTTAAATTTTTTTGCTCCCTTCCAATTGTTTTTGAAATGAAAATGCACTTTAAAAACCTCTCCATCTTAGCTGGGCGCCGGTGGCTCACGCCTGTAATCCTAGCTACTCAAGAGGCTGAAATCTGAGGATCATGGTTCAAAGCCAGCCCTGGCCAGAAAGTCCATGAGACTCTTTTTTTTTTTGTCAGTTGTGGGGGCTGAACTCTGGGCCTGGGTGCTGTCCCTCAGCTCTTCAGCTCAAGGCTAGCGCCCTACCACTTGAGCCACAGCGCCACTTCTGGCTATTTTCTGCTTATGTGGTACTGAGGAATCGAACCCAGGGCCTCATGCATGCAAGGCAAGCACTCTACCACTGAGCCAACTTCCCAGCCCAGTCCATGAGACTCTTATCTCCAATAAACAACTAGAAAACTGGAAGTGGCGTTGTGGCTCATGCGGTAGAGCACTCGCCTTGAGCTGAAGAGCGCAGGGACAGCGTCCAGGCCCAGAGTTCAAGCCTATGACCGGCCAAAAACCAAAAAAAACCAAAAAAACAAAAAACAAAAAAACCCTCTGCATCTGGGGCTGGGAAGGTGGCTCAGTGGTAGAGTGCTTGCCTTGAGCTGAAGAGCTGAGGGACGGTGCCCAGGCCCAGAGTTCAGGCCCCACGACCGGACACAAAAAAGAAAAACAAAACAAAACAAAAACCTCTTCATCTAACAAACCTATTGTGTCTGGAGAGCAGTGGAGTAGTGTGTGTGTGTGTGTGTGGAGTAGAACGGTGGTGATAATGTACACTGTGGAGGTGTGCAGTCAGGAGCTGTGGCTAGATTTGTGTGGGAGAACCAATGGGTTTAAGGATGACTCCAAGAAGAGAACTTCCATTTTGAATGGGAGAAGATTGTTTTTGAGGACAAAGCATGATACAGAGTTGCCTATTGGGCACCTAAGTGGAAATGTTTCAGTAGCCAGCTGGGGTGTATGTGGCTGGAACTGAAGGGAATGGTCTGACCTACAGATATGAGTCTGGGTGGCACAGATGGCATCTCAAGCCATGAGGCTGGAAGGGAGCATGAGTGGAGAAAGATCAGACCAAGAAAAAGAGGAGGGTGCCCCGACTGAGCCCTGGAACAGACAAATATAACGGGAGAAGAAAGGCTGGGCAGCAGTGGCTTAGGCCTGAACTAGCTATTCAGGAGGCTGAGATCTGAGGATGGAGGTTCAAAGCCAGTTCAGGCAGGAATGACCCTGAGACACTTTATCTCCAATTAACTACCAAAGAGCTGGAAATGGAGCAGTAGCTCAAGTGGTAGAGCACTAGCCTGGGGCACAAATGCTCAGGGATAACGACTGGGCCCTGAGTTCAAGCCCTAGACCCCCCCCCCACCGCCACACACACACACACACACACACACTCAGGGATAACGACTGGGCCCTGAGTTCAAGCCCTAGACCCCCCCCCCCCCGCCACACACACACCACACACACACCACACACACACACACACACACACACACACACACACACACACACACACACACACACACACACACACCTGGGAGAAGAAGAAACTTTAAGGGAGGCTGAAAAGCAGACAGGAGGCTACTCAAGGGAGAAATGGTTTCAGGGAGAAATACAATCCTTCAGGATCTTGGTGAGGACAAACGAAAGGACATTTGAAAGCAAGGCTGAGAATGGGGGCGCGCTAGGCTACATTCTGCCTGGGGGAAATTGGGCCCCATTCCGCCCCCTCCGCGCTCCGTAGTTCGGCGTCTCGTTTCCGTGGAGACCGAGACTCGGTCTAGCTGGGAAGTTTGACCGTCTCGGGTAACTGTTGGATCCACTCAGAGACAAGGAAGTTGGAGAAGACGAATGGGAATAGTAGAAGGACAGCGCCTATTTTCCTTCTATTTTTCCTAATGGCGAACATCTCCCAGATGTAAGGGGGGGGGGAGGGGAGAGAGGACACAAAAGGGCCTGGCCGGAGAGGTGAAGTGCGCATGCGTGCTTTTTTGCTACTCAAGCGGCAGCCCCGCCTTCCCGTCACTCACATCCCCGCCCCCGCCCCCTTGCCCGCACCCTGGAGACTCCAACTCCACTTCAAGTTTGCCTCTTGGAGCTCTTTGTGCTCAGGATGATGGAAGTTCCCCCCCCCCCCCCCCCATGCCCACTCTTTACAGATCTAGCCACTCCGGAACGCCCTCTACCATCCACCTGCTCCAGGTGAGTCCAGGAGGGCTTGGGCAGGATGGGTGTGTGTTGGGGGGGGCGGGGGAGTACATGGCCCTACCCTCTGCTTGCCCTCAACTCCCATGGTTGTGATTGCACTGGCATGACAGGGTCTGAAGACCTGAAGTCCAGGTCCAGCCGTGGCCCACATTTGCTGTGCGACCTGGGGCAAGTTGTGGGACCGCAGTGACCTCATTACCTTGTCAGAATGTAAAGGTGCTCTCCTGAGCATGATACAGAGCCGCCTATTGGTCTTTGCTTGCTACTCAGGTTTCATGAGGGTGATGGTTGGGTTCTTCGCAGGTCTGCTGTTCTTAGCACCTTACCCAGCGGATTTCCTTAAGAAATTCTGGTTGGCTAGTTAAAAAAGAAAGAAAAAAGTGACAGCCAGAATTTATGGACTTCCTTACCACATGCTTTAACTCACACAGATTGGGTTACAAGATCCACCTTACAGATGAGAAAATAGAGGTGCAGAGAGCTAAAGACATTTGCTTCAGGGCTTAGGTATCTGAAAAGGGTAGGGCTGGGAGTTGGGTCATCTTGTGGAGTGACTGTGTTCCCTGGTTGGATTATGTTCCCTGGCAGAAGTCCAATCAGAAATTGAAGAAATGGGTGCCCCCACTCCGTCCAGCTGAAAGCCACAATAAAAGCAAAATGAAGACTTCGATTAGAGACCAGCAAGGTAAGTAGAGGCACTTGGGGCTGGTGTCAGTGTTGGGGACCAGCTAAAGTATCTAGCATTGAAGATGTAGCTGGTGCCATTCCAAATACCCTGAGCTATAGCGCCTTTTAAAAAAAATTTATTTTTGTAGTATGAGGGTTTGAATTCAGGGCTTTGCACTTGCCCGACAAAAGATCTACCACTACGCTGGTCGCCGGTGGCTCACGCCTGTAATCCTAGCTACTAAGGAGGCTGAGATCTGAGGATTATGGTTCAAAGCCAACCCAGCAAGAAAGTCCATGAGATTCTTTTTTTTTTTTTTTGGGTCCGGTCATGGGGCCTGAACTCTGGGCCTGGGTGCAGTCCCTCAGCTCTTCAGCTCAAGGCTAGCGCTCTACCATTTGAGCCACAGTGCCACTTCCGGGTTTTTTCTTTTTGCTTATGTGGTGCTGAGGATTCGAACCCAGGGCCTCAGACATGCAAGGCAAGCGCTACCATTGAGCCACCTTCCCAGCCCTCCATGAGATTCTTATCTCCAATAAACCACCAGAAAACTGGAAGTGGTGCTGTGGCTCTAGTGGTAGAGCGTTAGCCTTGAGCTGAAGAGCTGAGGGACAGCATCCAGGCCCAGAGTTCAAGCCCCACGACTAACCAAAAAAAAAAAAAAATCTATCAATTAAGCCATGCTCTAAGAGTCTGAAAACCTCCTCTTCCTCCCCAGCTCCTATCTACCTGGAGGCCAGGCTGGGCCCTCTATCCTCCTACTTCTGCCTCCCTTCTAGCTGGAATTATAGAAGGTACCATCATACTGGGCCTCATGGTGGCTTCTTGCCCTCTTCTCCCCACTTTTTTATCCGATCTTCCTATCTGTCAGGTTGAGAGAGCAGGGATTTGGACTTGGGCTGCCAGTGTCTGGTTCTCTTGTGGTCCCCTGCTGTATCAGTGGTTTACAGGACACGAACAGTGGGAGTTCTGTATTCTTCTAGCCAGGCATTTGGGGGTGTGTGTATCTGCTTAGTTTATCTTAGCATTTCCATTAAGGCTTTGAAGTTTACTCTTCCACGGGGAAGGTCTGGCCTTGTTAGTCTATCCTGCTCTCTGCCTATCTCTATGGTGACTCCTTTCCCCTGGGCCTGTCCTGGCCCGTGGCAAGGCCTGGAGTGGGGTTGGAAGCTTCTTGATGGGTGGAAGTTTCATCATATGATAATATCACATCTTAAGGCTGTGAGTAGCTGGAATTGGGCCTGGGCCCCCTTACCCTCATTTTCACCCTCTCTCTTTCCTCTCCAATCTGTTCACAGTGGTGCCTGCCAGGGCCACCTTGTCAACAAGCCAGCAGAAGAACTTAACAGAAACACAGGGAAGGGAGCAGCCACAGTCCTGGAAGATTCAGGCCAGACTCCGGTTAATGCGGGTAGGAGGAGCATCTTCCCCAGTTCTGGGGACAGGGACATTGTGCTCTTTACTGAGCACTTCCTGGGGGCCAGGCCCCACTCATTTCCTCCTCTCAGCAACCCCATGGGTGTGCTTACCATGTCTGTTTTACAGATTGGGAAACTACGGTGCAGGGACATGTAGCAGGTCACACAGCCAAAATGTAGCAGTACCAGGTGTGCAGACCAAGTTCAAGGTTTGCTGCTGTATTTAGACTCAGGCTGGCCTTGAGTGCTTCGATCCTTCTGTCTCAGCCTCTGGAATGAGCCTTAGGCAGTATAGGAGAATTTGGAGTAGAGCAGGGATATGGTGGGATTTAGGTTTGCACAGCAGTCCTTGGGCTGCCTTTGCCTTGTAGAAGCAGGAAGGAATTAGGGAAGGGAGCAGAAACTACCCAGTTGATTGGTTGTTGGAGATGGAGGATTTCAATAGTCTCAGGATGATGATTTAGTCCACCTGGAATTCTGCAGAGAGAGCCTAGTCTATGCCAGGGAATTGGGGAATAGCCTCGACTAAGGCACTTGGAGTTCATGCAGTTTGCAGCTTATACTTTTTTTTTGTCCGTTGTGGGGCTTGAACTCAGGGCCTGGGTGCTGTCTTTGAGTCTCTTTGTGCTCAAGGTTAGCACTCTACCACTTGAGCCACAGTGCCACTTCCAGTTTTTGAGTGGTTGATTAGAGAGAAGAGAATCACAGGGACTTTTCTGCCTGGACTGGCTTTGAACCTCCATCCTCACATCTCAGCCTTCTGAGTACTAGGATTACAGGTGTGAGCCAGCAGTGCCGCCCCCCCCCCCCCAATCCAAAGGAAAAACCTACCAAGCAGAGAAGACCCAGTCAGGCAGAAAAGAATTGGATCTCTCCTGGACTCGAACAGGAAACAAGCAAACTGATCATAAGAAAAATACTCAGGTTAGGCAAGAAGTCCTAGGAGGAAAGTAAGTTGGGAAAGGGATTGTAATTGCCCGATTGTGGATGGAGGGAAGCATCTGGAAGGAAGCGAGGCAGAGCGTGGTGACTCCCAGTCATCTGTGATAATAGTCGTTGTGATAATAGTCTGTGATAATAGTCGCTACTCCTGGTACTGCCCAGTGAGGTAAGCTCTGTGAGCCTGGGGCTTGGTCATTTATTTCTTCACAAGCTGTTTCTGCTTATTTTTATCTAGGAACAGGGAGGTAAGATAGAGTGTGGTGGCCAGGAGCCCAGACCTGGATGCTAACAGCCCCACCATGCGTGGCCTTGGCTAATAATAGTGCCCACCTCCTCAGGCATGGCGCCCGACACAAATCAGCACTCACTCAATTTGCATTGTTCTGCAAGGGGCCTAGGATCTGGGGGCTGGGAAAGGACAGAGGAGAACAGAAGGAAGAAAAGAGAGCGCAGATAGGCCAGCAGCGGAGGGTGAGAGCCAGAGGCGGTATCAGTTATTGTCTGTCAAGCCATATGGAATGAACACTAAATGACTTGCTTGTGACTTTTTCTCTAACAGCAGCTTTCTGAAGCGGGCAGTAGTTAGTTATCAGCAGCATTAGATTGAGTATAAACGGGCTCCAGGAGGTTAATTAACATCTGTGGCTTAGATAATACTGAGATTTGAACTAAGGTGTGTTTAGGCCTCACATCTCAGGCACTCCATTAAGGCCATTCATTCTGTTCTTGTTTTAGTGTAATGGAGAGACCCAAACTGGGGCTTAGGAGCCCAGCTTTCCAGTCCAGCACTACCAGTTCTTGGCTGTGTGACATTGAGCAGGTCACTGAACCGCTCTGAGCTTTGCTGAACCTCCATTTACCAGCTGGAGGATGAGCTGATCCTATGGGCTCCCTCCAGAGCAAGGCACGCTGCCAGGCTGCCTGGCATGGCTCAGGCCCTCAGTTGTGTGTACCTGCTGAGTGTAACCATAGGCAGGTCACTGAACTCTTCAGAACTCCTATTTCCAAGCCGGGGCTGTTGTCTGATGAGACAGGATATGGGGGCCAATTCATCTTCTCCAGACTTGGACCATCACCTCTGCCACCTTCTTAACCTACCTGGGGCCTTGTCATTATTATCATTATTTCTACATTACACTGGTTCCCAAAAGCCTCTGAAAACAAGGCCCTTTTTTTTTGGCTGGTCCTTGGACTTGAACTCAGGGCCTGGGCACTATCCCTGAGCTGCTTTTGCTTAAGGTTAGCACTTTACCACTTGAGCCACAGGGCCACTTGCTGCTTTTTCTGTGATTAATTGAAAGTAAGAGTATCATGGGCTTTCCTTCCCCGGGCAGGCTTTAAATCGTGATCCTCAGATCTCAGCCTCCTGAGTAGCCAGGATTACAGGTGTGAGCCCCTGCGCCCAACCAAGGCACAGCTTTATGTGCCCACAGAGCTGGGCCTGGGCCCTGCTCAGAGATGTGAATCACTGCAGGGTAACAGAGCACCCCATTTCCTCCCACTTACCTAGACAATGGGGAAGGGCAGTCCTGCATTTACATGGGAGAACCAGAGGAGGTGGGCTGGCAGGCGGAGGAGCGGCCCCCAGGTTCTGCAGGACCCCCCTCCTTCCTGCCCTCCCTCTGACTCCTCCTATCCTTGCCCTGCAACACGCAGTCGATGGTCCGCAATGAGCGGACCGCCTTCCAGGAGCTCTGCAACCATGAAGCCTTCCTCACCAAGTTCAACCAGGATCTGGTGAAGACCGTTCGGGACAAGGAGGACGCCACGGCCCTCAGGGTGCGGGCGTTGCTGCAGCAGCACCAAGTCCTCGGGGTGAGGACGCCGCCTCCGCCCTCCCGCAGCGGGCCGCGCTGCTTTCCCAGCCCCCGAGCGCCCTCGCCTGGCTGCTCCCACACCTGCACGTGCTTCGGGCTTCCTCCAGCCTGAAGGCCTGGCTCTCCTTCCTCATACATTCTATGACTCAGGGTCAGCGGGTGAAGACAGTCCAGATCTCCCCTTAGTGACACTGGGGTAGGGGTGCTATGCCAGAGGGTGGGGACTTGGGGAGCCCAGAGGGGATTTCTAACCCAGACATGGGGAGCACCAGGAAGGCTTCCTGGTAGAAAAAAAGTATTTTGGTTGAAATCTGCACAGAAGGCATTCACTGGTAGAGACTGGGAAGGGTGCTGGAGTTCTGGGGAGCAGAGCTTCCTTCCCCCCTCCCCCTCCAAAAAAAGATCCATATGCTGCTGAATATGGCTGAATGATATGGTGTGAGGAAAGGATCAGAGAAAGATAAGTTTAGCCCTGGCCAGAGCCAGTAAGGCCTTGTCAGCCAAGGTAAGGAGTTGGTTGGGTTTCAGAGTTAGATGTTTCTTCTCCGGTGGAGGTGGGGTTGGGGGTCCGGGCTGGGGACTCCCTGAGGAAGCCGGGGAGCTACCCTGAGCTGACCCTGCCACTCTCACAGAACGTCATCAACATCTTGGAATACTTCAACAAGAAAAGGGTACAAGAGATGAATGCCGAGCTCCAGGAATGGGAAGAAAAGGAAGAGCAGAAGATAAACTGTAAGAAGCTTCACACCCAGGGCCTTTAGCTTTAGATCCTTCACCCTGTACCTGCTCTTGGCATCTTGTCCTTCTCAGCAGATGGAATTGCTAGAATGCTGAGCTAATGGCTTACTGACAGAGCCCAGAGTGCAGGCTGGGAGTTTAGCCCAGCGGAAGGGCGCCCGCCCAGTGTGCACAAGGCCCTGGGTTCGGTCCTCAGCCCTGGGAAAAAAAAAAAAAGAGTAACAGAGCCCAGAGTGCTTCTCAGGCCTGCCTGGAATAAAAAAAAATCAGTTGCAGGGTTTGAATTCAGGGCCTGAGCACTATCCCTCTTTGTGCTCAACGCTAATGCTCTACGACTTGAGCCACAGCTCCCCTTGTGGTCTTTTTTTTTTTTTTTTTTTGGGTCCGGTCATGGGGCCTGAACTCTGGGCCTGGGCGCTGTCCCTCAGCTCTTCAGCTCAAGGCTAGCGCTCTACCACTTGAGCCACAGCGCCACTTCCGGCTTTTTTCTTTTTGCTTATGTGGTGCTGAGGAATCGAACCCAGGGCCTCGAGCATGCAAGGCAAGCGTTCTACCACTGAGCCACCTTCCCAGCCCCCCCTTGTGGTCTTTGAGTGGTTAATTGAAGAAACGAATCCATGAAGATTTTTCTGCCTGGGCCAGCTTTGAACTGCAATCATCAGATATCAGCCTCCTGAGAAGCTAGGATTACAGGCATGAGCCCACTGGCACCTTGCATTTTGATGGCAACACTTATTTGGCTATTATAACCATTTTATGGCTGAGGCCAAAGCTATGGGAAGTTATATAGCTGTAACCCTGAATCCAATCCCAGCCTGCTCTGCTTCCTGTCAGTACCCCTCTCAGAGTTACATAGCTGAGCCAGGAGCTTTGGGCTTTTATTGTGCTGGTTGTGGTTCCTTTTCCTGAACACATTAGATGCCGTCTGCAGGAGGGGTGGTGTATCAGACAACACAAACATTGCTGATCCTTTCCGATGGAGGAAGGCAGGACAGACTTTTTTTTTGGTGCCTGTACTAGGACTTAGGGCCTGGAACTCTTGTGCTGAGCTTTTTCCATTTATCATTGGTACTATACCACTTGAGTCACATTTCCACTTCTGGCTTTTTGCTGATAAATTGGAGATAAGTGTCTCTCAAGTTTGTCTGCCTGGCCTGCCTTTGGACCCCTCCCATTCATCAGATCTCTCTCTCTCTCTCTCTCTCTCTTGCTGGTCATGGGGCCTGAACTCTGGGCCTGGGCGCTGTCCCTCAGCTCTTCAGCTCAAGGCTAGTGCTCTACCATTTGAGCCACAGTGCCACTTCCAGCTTTTTCTGCTTATGTGGTGCTGAGGAATCGAACCCAGGGCCTCATGCATGCAAGGCAAGCACTCTACCACCTAGCCACCTTCCCAGCTCAGATCTGTCTCTTGAGTAACTAGGATAACAGGTATGAGTCACTGATGCTCAGCCAGACTTGGTCAAGGATTATGTGCAGGGAGCCAGTGTCACCCCAACTCTGGGGTGAGTGCTTGAGACTGGAGTCTAGAGAAGGCTAGTCTTGTGGAGATCAGAGCACTGGATGGCGGAACTGGGCAGGGGTCCAGGAATCTTCCACTGGTGCCATTTCTGTTTGTTGCCCAGAATTGCCTCTCCTGCAGGCCTGCGAGACTCTCTTGGGACTTAACTTTTCACCTCTTTGAGCCTAACACAAACCAGACCCCAGAACCTTGGCCAAGGAGAGTTGGGTGTCCTGAGCCTCCTGGGAAATCCCCATCCCCCTTTTTTTTGTAGTGCAACTGGGGTTTGAACTCAGGACCTAGGTGCTGTCCCCTACACTTTTTCCCACTCAACGCTGGTATCCAACTACTTGAACCACAGGTCTACTTCCAGCTTTTGGTGGTTAATTGAAGATAAGAGTTTCATGGGCTTTTCCACCCGTGTTGGCTTCCCTACTATGACCCTCAGATTTCAGCCTTCTGAGTAGCTAGGATTGCATGTGTGAGCCACCAACAGCCAGCTATGGGAAGTCTCTTTGAAGGAAGACCCCCCCTCCTGCCCCTCCTTTTGTACCTTCCTTCCCCAGGCCTGGAGCAGGAGGTACAGAAGCTGAATGAAGAGATCAGTGCAACCCAGGAGGAGGTGAAGTTCCTGAGCACGTACATGGACCACGAATATTCTGTCAAGTCAGTGCAGATTGCCAATCACATGCGCCAGCTGCAGCAGGTGAAGGACAAACAGCAGGTATGGGCGTTCCTGGCCTTGTTGTACCAGGCCACGTGTGAAGTAGGCCTGGTGGACACTGCCCCCCTCCCCCACTTTCTCCTGGCCTCCCAGGACAAGCTGGATAACCTCATTGAGATGCGCAAAATGGCCCTGGACTCTTTGTGTAACATGATTAGAGAGAAGGAGAAAGAAATTCTGCAGTCTCTGATAATCGTGAGTAGCCACCTGCTGTGATGAGCCTCCAGCTCTTGCCACAGCCCTGCGGTCCTCCCTGTCCATCCGCCTCCAGCTCCTCCACACCCTTGTCAGTCTCTCCCAGGCACTGTTGCCCAGGGAGAGGCACCTGAGGGACGGAGCTCCTCCTTCATCCACAGAAAATCCAGCAGCCCTGTGAGACACATCTTTGGCAGATGGCCCAGAATAGCCAGAAAATGCAGAAAAGCATGGTCTTTCTCAAAGATGTAAGTGGAGGGGCTGGGAAGGTGGCTCAGTGGTAGAGCGCATGCCTTGCATGCTCAAGGCCCTGGGTTCGATTCCTCAGCACCACATAAGCAAAAAGAAAAAAGCAGGAAGTGGCGCTGTGGCTCAAGTGGTAGAGCGCTAGCCTTGAGCTGAAGAGCTGAGGGACAGCACCCAGGCCCAGAGTTCAGGCCCCATGAACAGACCCAAAAAAACAAAAAAACAAATCAAAGATGTAAGTGGAAAAGGGCAGCCAGGGTCTGTATGTGAGGGAGAAGCTGAGCGGGGTAACAGATTGTCCTGATTTAGAGCTCAGAAGCTCCCCTGCCCTGGCCTGCTTCCTTACCAGTACCTTTTTCATCTTCGTCACCACCAAAGCCACCTCCTCCTCCTCCTCCTCCTCCTCCTCCTCCTCCTCCTCCTCCCCCTCCTTCTCCTCCTCCTCCTCCTCCTCCTCCTTCTCCTTCTTTTTCTTCTTCTTGTGCCAGTTATGGGGTTTAAACTCAGGGCCTGGGCACTGTCTCTGAGCTTTTCTGCTCAAGGCTAGCTCTCTACCACTCTTGAGCCACAACTCCACTTCCACCTTGTTTCTGGTGGTTAGTTGGAGACAAGAGTCTCAGGTAATTTTCTGTCTGGGCTAGCTTCAAACCACGATCCTCAGATCTCAGCCTCTGGAGTAGCAAGGATTACAGGTGTGAGCTACCATTTCTGTCCTCATTCATCTGGGAAGAGGATTGGTGCTGGCCTGGACCATGCCTCAGTGAGCTGTCACTGGCTCACTCAGTGAGCCCCTGTCACTGGCTGTGACCCATTAGTAATACCATAGATCACCTGCGCAGTCAGTAACCCCCTCCTTCATCTCCTTCCTGCCACTCATTATCAGGGTTAATGAACATTAGCCACTCTGGAACTGATTTTCATTGTACTGCAGCAGCATCAGTTCCTAGTCTCCCATAATTCTCATAATCTGGCTTCATTGTCCACCCCTTCACCCTTGCTACTGTGAACTCTGTCACTCACTTGACAAGCCCCGCCCTCAACAGGGAAGCTTCCTGTCTGGAGTTCAGCATGTCCTAGTAACAAAGCCCATATACCACCCACACCCCCATATCCTTTTGTCCTTCACTGGGGGCCAGTAGGCTCATGTCTCCTCTGCTGTGTCTTCCCCCTCAGTTTATTGAGCAGATGAAGGAGGAAATGCCCATACTAGCTGATGAGGTGAAGGAGTCTCAATCCCAGATCTTGGACCCCCGAGAGATCGCTTTTGAGGATGTTCTTCTTCGGAGACCCAGGTACATGATCTCTTTACAGCCATCCATGTTTGGGCTCTGGGAAGCTCTGTTCTCAGGGAGAGCAGCCTCACATAGACAGCAGAGCCCCATCCAGGGATGAGGAGGCTGGGTATCTATACCTCAGCTTTGCCAATGGCACATGTGACCTGTCCCAGCTCTGGACCTCATTCTCCTGTTGTTGTTTTCTTTTTTTTTGGGCCTGCCTGGGCGCTCTCCCCCAGCTCTTCAGCTCAAGGCTAGCGCTCTACCACTTGAGCCACAGCGTCACTTCCGGCTTTTTTCTTTCTGCTTATGTGGTGCTGAGGAATCGAACCCAGGGCCTCAGGAATGCAAGGCAAGCGCTCTACCACTGAGCCACCTTCCCAGTCCTCCTGTTGTTGTTTTCTTGGGTTGGTCATGCCTGAACTCAGGGCCTGGGCATTCTCCCTGAGCTTTTTTGCTCAAGGTTAGTGCTCTACCACTTTGAGCCACAGCTTTACTTTCAGTTTTCTGGTGGTTAATTGGAGATGAAGAGTCGTGGCCTTCCCTGCCTGGGCTGGCGTCAAACAGCATCCCTCAGATCTCAGACTTCTGAGTAGGATTATAGGTGTGAGCCGCCAGCGCCTGGCTCTTGTTCTTTTATGTCCAAGAGGCTGGGTTATATAGTCTCTACGGACCCTGCTAGACTCCTGATTCCATGTGCTAACTAGGTGGGCTGTTGGGGAAGGCTGGGCTCTTGACTCCAGTGATAGAGTACGGCCCATAGGGGAGCCCTGAGCTCATACTCTGTTATCAGAGAGAGAAAGAGAGAAAGGAAAGGAGGGTGGAGGGGAAGGAGGGAGGGGGAGAAGGAGAGGACAAAGAAAAACCCAGAGCAAGTGGTCCTGGCTCACAGAATGATTGTCCTGAGTCTGGGGCCTCTGTGACCCTGAATATTCCCTGTTGTTGACCTCCGGCTCCTCTCTGGGGGAACACTGGTCCTGCCACATTCATTTCCTTTTTTTGACATTTCATTTACACGTGTGTGTACATGTGTGCTCGTGCGCATGCGCGTATGTGTTTGTGTGTATGTGTGTGTATGTGTGTGGTTGGGTCCCTCCAGTAAATATCACTGTTGTGAGGAACTGGGGGCTCTTGGGTGAATGTGCTCCCCCACCCCACTTGGCACTCCCCTGCCCTTTACCCTCCTTGCTGCTTCCCACCAGGTGCACCCCAGACATGGCTGTCATCCTCAACATCCCCATGGAAGACCTGCTCTTCTAGGGACGGTTCCCCGGGCTCCTCTCTTCCTGGCTCTTCTCAGGACCCGAGGCTTTGATTGGTTTATTTCCAAGACCCTGTCTCCAGTTGGTCCCTCCCCTTTCTCCCCCCTCCCTTTTCTGTTTAGTGTTATTTTTTTTGCCTCCTCTGGGGAGGCAAAGTTGGTGTAGCGCCTTGGCCCAGGTGCGACTTGCCAGTCGAATCCTCCATTCCTTCCTGCCAAATAAAGCTGGACTTGCATTTGCTTTGGTCTGATGTGTGCAGGGGGAGAAGAAGAGAGTGGGGAGGGGGAAAGGGGGGGACACTAGGCTTCACAGGATCCCTGATAGGAATGGAGTTGACCTGCTGGTAAGGAGCAGCAACTGTGCCTCCTGCATCCAGGAGGGCCGGAGGGCCCTCCTTCATCTCCATAGACCTTCCTTGAACCCAGCTTCCCTTCCAGTTGCACCCAGGTCTGCTGAGGTGGCGCTTAGGCAGGAGACTCCTTGAGATGAGTTCCCTGGGAATGAGCATCCCTCTTCTAGGCCAGCCATCTCACGGTCCACCACTGTTCCCCAGCTTGCAGAGGGACACGGGCCAAACTCACATTCCAGTATAAAGCTGTGTGCAAAGCTCTGCATTGCATACCCTTCAGAGATGTACTGTCTGGTCCCTCTTCCTGCTTTTTGGTGGTTAATGGGAGATGAGAGTCTTACAGACTTTTCTGTCTGGGCTGGCTTCACGTTGTGATCCTCACATCTCAGTCTTCTGAGTAATATAATTCCTGCCTTGAGCCAGAGCTGCCAGACCTTTCCCCAGTTGTTGGTTGTAAGGATACTTGGTAATCAACAGCCTGCACCTACACTGTGCCTTGGAATTGGCCTCCCTGGCCACACGAACTGCCTTGATCACTTCTAGATTCATTTTGCCCGTTTAGGATACTTGACTCTAGATGACAGATCAACTCAAAGTGGCTGAAGTAATAAAGGGCTCAAGTAAATGGTTGTAGCTATGTCTAGAAATCTAGGGATGGCACTAAATACCCAATTTCTGTTTCTTTCCTAAGGTGTCCTCCTCTGAAGGTTGGCTCTCCATGTCCCAATATGCCAGCATCTCAGCCATTCCATATACTTGTCCCACTGGGAAGTGAGAGAGACTGGCTCTGTCTCAGAATCTCTTACTGTTCCGGTGGTCAGACTGGTTTATCTCACGTGCCCACCTAGACATTCACTTGGAGTGATGAGAGCCTAGTGGTTTAAGCTAGGTCTCACGCTGTACCTTAGAGTATGTGTGTGTGTGTGTGTGTGTGTGTGTGGCGGGGGGGAGGGTCCTTGGAGAGAGCATGAACTAGAGTAAGCTAGGAGATGTTTCCCAAAAACCATTTGGCTCTCTAAATGAATGGATGGTGTTGGACATAACAGCAAATACTTTAAATAGAGATGACTCTGTACTTTACGTATTTTAATTCATTCAGTTTTCACAAGGACAACTTGATGAGTAAGCATAGTTAGCATGTCCATTTTCTTTTCTTTTTCTAATATATATTTTTTATTGTAAAGATACTATACAGAGAGAGGGGTTACAGTTACAGAGTAAGGTAATGAGTCCATTTCCTATTGAGCATTGTTATACCCTCCTTTATTTTTCCCTTACCATCCCTTTCCTCCCCACTTCCCCAACTCCTCCCCCCCCCCCAAAGTTGTAAAGTTTGTTTTCAACATACTGTCTTGTACATCTCATCGTTACAGTGGGTCAACCTGCATCCTTATTTCAGCATTTGTTATTTCCCTTCCCCTCCTCAAAACAGAAAAATGTATATACAAGATGCAGGACAGCTGAATCAAATACAGTGACAGCAGGGGTTGTACCATGGGGGAAGAACATACAAAGAAACAAAAAATCACATAGTAGTGTATCCATTTTCCAAATGATACTTTTTCCAATCATCTGGCTAGTGGGTGGTTAAGGTAGTTTGCTTTGGCAACTGTGTGGCCAGGGGCTCAGCTGGGCTAGAGCAACCCTTCAGATTAGAGCCCTTTACTACAGAATATGGCTGTGGTTGGAACATGTATCTCCACAATTCATGTCAAAACCTAATCTCCATTGTGATATAATAGGAGGTAGGGTCTGTTGGGATTAGTGCAGTTATGAATGGGCTCCAGGGAGGGAGTTATGCCCTTTGCCTTTTTGCCATGTATACACCTCATTCATTCATTCCTCCATGACAGGGCCCAGCAAGAATGTGCCATCTTGGACGCAGAGGCAAGCCTTGCAAGATATGGAGCTTTTATTTTTTTTAATTTTTATTTCTTGCCAGTCCTAGGGCTTGAACTCAGGGACTAAGCACTGTCCTTGAGCTTCTTTTGCTCAAGGCTAGCCCTCTACCACTTGAATCAGAGCTCCACTTCTGGCTTTTTTTTTTTTTTTTGGTCGGTCGTGAGGCCTGAACTCTAGGCCTGGGTGCTGTCCCTCAGATCTTCAGCTGAAGGCTAGTACTCTACCACTTGAGCGTCAGCCCCACTTCCAGCTTTTTCTGCTTATGTGATGCTGAGGAATCAAACCCAGGGCCTCATGCATGCAAGGCAAGCACTCTACCACTGAGCCACCTTCCCAGCCCCCACTTCTGGCTTTTTCTGTGTATGTCGTACTGAGGAATGGAACCCAGGGCTTTATGCATGCTAGGCAAGCACTCTAGCATTAGGCCATGTCCTCAGCCTAGATCTTTTTTTTTTTTAAAATATATTTTTAAATTGAGATTAAGTGATTACATAAATTTCACAAATTTCACAGTATTGTAGGATAGTGGTACTTAAAGTCACAAATACATTCCAACCTTTACAAGGCAAGTTGTCATTATCATGGTCTATAAAGTTTGTGAATTCTATGAGCTTTGACATTACAACTATTTCGTCCACATCGGGTGATATATACATTTCCTTTCTCCTGCTTAGTGTCAGCTGTTCCCTCTTTCCCTCTCATTCCCTCCCTCCCATCGCTGCCTTTGCGTTGCTTAGGTCATTTTCATCAATGTCCAGTGCAGCTGATGGGCCCCTTTATTGTATATTTTTCCCAGCCTGGATCTTTTAAAAAATTGTTATTCATTGTTATTATAAAATTATTATTTCATTGTTATTATCCCAGCCTGGATCTTTTTTTTTTTTTTTTTTGGGTCTGGTCGTGGGGCCTGAACTCTGGGCCTGCGCACTGTCCCTCAGCTCTTCAGCTCAAAGCTAGTGCTCTACCACTTGAGCCACAGCGCCACTTCCAGCTTTTTTCTTTTTGCTTATGTGGTGCTGAGGAATTGAACCCAGGGCCTCTGGCATGCAAGGCAAGCGCTCTACCACTGAGCCACCTTCCCAGCTCCCCAGCCCGGATCTTTTTAAAGAATTGCTTTTCATTGTTATTATAAAGGTGATGTACAGAGGGGTTACGGTTATATAAGTCAAGTAATGAGTTCATTTGTTTTTGGACAATGTAAGCCCTTTCTCTCTCTCTCTCCCCCCCCTCTGTTTTTCTCTCCCATCATCACCTGCAAGTTGTATAGTTCCTTTTCAGCACAGTGTCCAGTGAGTGCCACTGTTGCATTTGTTCCCCTTTGTCCATTGCTGTGTCCCCCCTTTTCCTCCCAAAGACAAATAAGTGAGTAAACAAGACAAAAAGAAAATGAAAACAGCAACAAAGATAAAACCTCTTGTTTCCATTTCCTAGAGTTCATTTCTGTAGATATTATTTTATATGATCTGGTGCACATAGGCATTGAGGCTTTGTGTGCCTCTGCTAAGACTGTCCTCCTGGGACCTCACTGTGTGTGAATGTCCAGATATGGATCGCACTTTCCTTCCTTCCTTCTTTCCTTCCTTCCTTCCTTCCTTCCTTCCTTCCTTCCTTCCTTCCTTCCTTCCTTCCTTCCTTCCTTCCTTCCTCCCTCTCTTCCTCCCTCCCTCCCTCCCTCATTCCTTCCTTTCTTCCTTCTTCCTGTCTTTCTGTCTTTGTCATAGGGCTTGAACTCTGGGCTGGGCGCTGTTCCTGAGCTCTTCAGCTGAAGGCTAACACTACCACTTGAGCCACAGCACCACTTCTGGCATTTTCTGTATATGTGGTACTGAGGAATTGAACCTGGGGCTTCATGCATTCTAGGCAAGGCTCTATCACATTCCCAGCCCTGGATTTTTTTTTTTTTTTTTGCTAGTCCTGGGGCTTGAACTCAGGGCCTGGGCATTGTTCTTGAATTTCTTTTGAGGCTAGTGCTCTACTATTTGACAGCACCACAGCACCACTTCCAGCTTAAAAAAAAATTTATTGGAGATAAGAGTCTCACAGATTTTCCTGCCTGGGCTGGCTTTGATCTTCAGCTCTCAGCCTCTTGAGTAGCCAGGATTACAGATGTGAACCACTGGCACCTGGCCAGATATGGATCTTGATCTTGCCTTAGAACCAAGAAGAATACATTTCTGTTGCTTACACATCACGTACACTAAGTGTACAAAGTACACTAAGGTACTTTGTTATAGCGACCTGAGTTGACTAAGGTAAGCTGAGCAGTTCTCAAATCATTAAGTTCTGATTCTTTTTGGGCTGATCGTTCTTATGGCTTGTCTCTCTTCTTTTGTACTTTACTGTAAACAGAAAGAGGAAACTGGATTCACCTTCAATATGTTTCTTCGAAATCTGTTCAGCTGATCATTCAAGTACACTGCTTATACTTTCTACCCAGCAGGACATGATTCCCCTTAGGTTGCTGGCACCATGTAACAAGAATTCTCTTCAAGTTCCATCATATATTTCTCATTAACTTCCAAGTCCTCACTAGAAGCATCGTGTGTGTGTGTGTGTGTGTGTGTGTGTGTGTGTGTGTGTGTGTGTGTGTGTGTGTGTATGCCATCATGGGCCTTGAATTCAGGGCCTGGGCGCTGTCCCTGAGCTTGTTCACTCAAGCTTGTGCTTTACCACTTGAGCTATTCGCTCTACATCTGGCTTTAATTTTTAAGAGTCTCATGGACTTTCCTGCCCAGGCTAGCTTTGAATGGCAATCCTCAGATCTCAGCCTCCTGAGTAGCTAGGATTATAGGCATGAGCTACCGGCGCCCGGCTTAGGTTAGACATTCTATAAGGTAACTCAGGGCTGCTTTATTTCCTCATTCTTCCCTGTTTAAAACTCCATGTAGCAGGACTCAGGGTTGATCTGCTGTCCGTGCTTCCCTCTCTTTGTACCCATAGTGGGATTTAGTGTGGGAATTCTGATTCTTGGCTGCACAGGGAAG